TGAGTAACTGCACGTGAATGAAAATGAAAATGAAAACAAAGCCAGCACGAAGCGCGAGCACAGGCAGCAACAGAGCCTTTTAGTTGGGAGTATGGCCAACAAAATGGGCGAAAACCAGACCAACTTTCACGCTTAAAACTTTCGCATTTCTTAACTAGTTTTTGTTATTGTTAGCTGGTTTTATTTTCTTGTTGTTGCTGCTGTTTTTTGGTGCTTGCTGTCGCCTTCGTGCCCTGCACAAAATGCGGAAAATTAAATTGCCCTCGTTCTGGCTCGTTCTCTTGCTTGGCAAGACAGCCCAAAACACGGCACACACTCACACACCCACAGGACATAGACTAAGAGACGGCACACACATACAAACAATAATTGAAATAAACACTTAAAAAGTTTGACTGCACGCTGCTGGCTTTGCCTTTGCCTTTATTTTTTTTTCTTCTCTTTGTTGAGGTATTTTTTGTGTGTGCATTGAAATAGTTTTCTTGGTTTTAATGCCGCGTACCGTTGCAGCTGTTAAATTTTATTAAGCAGCTAACAAAACTTGAAACAATGGACAGATTTGCATCTGCTATTTGTGTGTTTGTTCTTGTTGTTTTTGTTGTAACTATTGTGTTAAACGCACACAGCCACAAGCAAAACGAATGGCAGACAATAAAAGCGCTGCATACTTTTGTGCGCCGAAGAAATTTAATTATGCCAGGCAACTCGTTAATTACAAACAAATAAATATAATTAGCTATTGAAGCGTTTAGGCAAAGGCAAAAGCAAAAGTCAAAGAATCGCACTCAACGCAGAACAGAGCCGAGCACATGTCCGGAGGCTACTTGTTCGTTTGTCCTTGGACAGGACAACAGACAACAGCGTTCGTTGTATTTACATTTGAGCTCATACTTTACGTTTATTATGTGGGTAGCTGAGTGCATGACAATTGACCAGATTGAGAGAAGCATAAGCTCTGGTTGTTGCTGTTGTTATTGTCAACTTTAGCTTGATAAACCACTTGTGCTGCAGAGCTTGATAAAATGAAGTCGTTGACTGCCAAACATAAATCAAGGAGCCTATAAGGACAGCACCTTAGCAAATACAAATAAAATCAAGTGGCCTTTGATGTTACATCTTTATAATTGCCTGTCCCTACAAGATAAATTACAAGCACTACATACTAAATGAAATGCAATAAAAACAACAACTAATTTGTCTCGCATAGCTTGGACAAACAAAGTGCTAAACGGGCTTTGCAGTCACTTAAGGATAGCAAGTTTATTTAATAGCAAAATGAGCACTCAACAGCATTTACCCCGAATTATAAGTTAAGAATTTAAATTAAAACAATAAATTTTTAGACTGACTACTAAACTTGTTGGATTAAAATTATAATCAAAATAAGTCAAATGAGATAATTGACCAAAAAGTGAGTTGTATTTGTCTTAATTAAAATATATGGTAAAGTTATATTATTTAATTCATATTCGAACGCCCAATGAATATTTATTAATCTATTAACATTGGCGATTGCCAACTAATGAAATTGTTTATGCAAAGTATTAAAAGTTTGAAGCGAATGCAATTTATTTGCTAACATTTCAAATAATTTACATCGTTATAGATACAATATTCTTTTATGAATGCAGGACTTAATTTTCATAGCGTATTGTTTCTGGTCTCTTTATTTACACCATAATATCCAAATGCTTTCATACTTAACTATATTAAGCATGGACATTTCATTATATTTTGGCTTTTTTGTCCTGCGTGCGTCCCAAATAGGATTTTCATTTATCCAAACTTTTGCCATAGTTGTTATGGCTCTTGGAGGAGCATGGGGACAACGGAGCGCCCCTAATTAATTTGATATTTTCTGGTTGGCGCAGCACAAGTCAAGCAAAATTAGACGCTGCGGTGTAATAAGGCAGACAAAATGGCGGATAAATATATTTTTTTCTGTCTATTCCACACACACACACGCACACACAGACACACCAGCTAAATGCCTTTTTGCGTTACCTTTTTATGGACATTCCACGCGTAGCGCTGCAAAAAGGAAATTAATATCAATTTTCAGCTTTGTCTATGACAGTGCGCTGAGTGTTGTTGTTATTGTTATTCTGATGTAGATTTTTTCTGCTGTTTTTTTTTTTCGTTTTTATATTTTCGTTGCGTGCTCTTGAGCGTTATGCATGTGTCCTTTGTCCTGCCTTATTATATTAACAGCAATTACTCACAGTAATGCGCTCTCCTTCGCACACACTGTTGCTCTCGAGCTCTCTACACATAGTCATGGCTGCAATTAACTTGATTACAACAGGAATGAAAGCTATTTTTGCTGTTGTTGTGGGTTTTTATTAGGTTGCACTGAACCAAACAGAGGCTTAACATACAGACACACACAAAGGCAACAACAAAACAAGCCCAAGCCCTTCGCATGGCCGGAGTGGCCGAGGGGGCACCCCGGAGGCGCCACCAACAGATGTACATGTTGATTAGGGCTGTCTACAGGCCCCCGATGGCAGCAGCGCTCTTTTAGCGGCGTTTGGTTTCGATTTACTTTGCTTTTATTTTCCACTCAAATTCAGTTAAATGCCTGCGGCTCGTATCTGTATCTGGGGCATCTTTTGAGTGCGCTTCCCTGATGGATATTATTTCTACGCACAGACACACACACACAAACAGCCCGCCGCAGACGCTGATAATAGAAGATTTGGCCGCAGGACAAATTATGCGTCCGTAACGCGAACTGCGCACCGCCAGCAACGACAATCAGTATCAGCAACAGGAAGCTTCGGCTTTTCATTCATTTTTTTTTGTATGCGTTCGCATTTTTTCTTTTTCTGCTGTAATTGAAAAGCGCCAAAAGTCAAAGTGACAAACACAGCAGCGGCAGCATTGGCAGCAAGGATGCGCGAAGGACTCGCACTCACTGATTGACAACAAGATCAGGTCACATTGACAAATGCTAGTCCTAACGAGATTTTACCGCTGCTGGTGTTGCTGCTGCTGTTGTTGTTGTAGATGTTGTTGAAGTTGGCAGCAGACTGTGCCACATGCGAAAATTAATTAACAGAATTTCGTTTTTTAAAAGCAAACGCACTATGCATTAAGGGATGTGTGGCCTAGGGGCTGCAATTACCGTTAATGAGTTTAATGCCAAAGGCGTCGACAAACACATCCCTAGTGCCCTTTTCAAAAAACTTGGTTTTCGTTTTTTCAGTCTGTCCTTTTTTTTTTTTTAAATGAGTGGCACCCGTGCTACAAAAAAAATAAGTGAAAAACGGAGAAAAGTGAAGTTTTCTGTTTTGTCTATTTTCACTTCTATCTACAGTTGATTTCATCTTGCACAGCGGCAAAAGTTGCGCACAAAGCGCGCAACAAGTTTTTTGACCGAAGTTTTTTGTATCCTGCGAAAGTTTGTAAAAGGGTTGCATGTGTCTTCATGATAGGTCAAAGTTGCAAATAACATTTGCTATGCATGTGCATAGGGTATTTCCATGTTGATCATTTAACTTGTTTTACTTTATCTATTTCCTGGGCTACAGAAATTACCCTTTTTTACTGGGCACATTAATTTGCCCAGCTTCAGTGATTTTGAGCAGGCAACCCAAGCCGCAGCATACACCTGTCCGACCTTTTAAACATTTGACCAGTTCATTGAAGCGTTTTGTGTTAAGGTCAGAGGCTGGGTGAGCCCCTGGCTCAGTTAAGGCCAAGTTTAACCTTAAATGTGCCGCAAATAGCATTAATGACTGCCAGGAGTTGAGAGTGAAGAACTGAGAGCTGATAACTCTGCGCTCGTATATCGTTGGTTTTCGGTTTCGCTTTGACTTTCGACTTAAGTCTGTCTGTCCCACTGCCCGTTTGTCTATTCCTGTCTGCTGCCTTTTGGTTCTCTATTTTTCTTTTTTATTAAATTGGCCAGTAAAAGCCAATTAGTTAGTTGTGAAGCTGTGGGGGTTTTACTAAGTGTTAAATTAATTATCTAATGGCTGCACATCACTTAGTTGACTTATTAAACTTTTAAATAAAACGCAAGTGAAGTGCGCACAGCTCTTGCCTTTTTCAGCATAGTTAATTATATTTGCTGATAAAAATGAAATTGCAGTTTATCATAGAAGCAGTGCCAAGTGCTGCACAAATAGCCAGTTCAGGTCAGTTAGGGTCAGGTTGAGAGGCTAGAGACGACAACGACAATGGCAAAACAAATATTAAAGCCAGACAAACATATGTGTGTGCATGTGTGGCTGACTCCTGCTGTACTCGAAAGTGCCAAGCCGTTGAGCTGGCCGGCTAAGATGCTTCTTGAAAATCCTGTTATAAAAATGGTCAGCCAGCAACTCATGCAATGCGATGAGACGAGAACAACAACAACCACACCCATACACACACACACACACTCATAACAACAAAAGTATAGCACATGGCAAATCTTGTGCCGGAGCAGTGAACAGGAGGCAGGATCGGGTAGCGAAGCGAGTATAAGAAATGTAAACTTAAATATTTTATAGCATTAAAGCAACAAATAAAAGCAGCAGCAGAGAGCCAGGCGAACAGCCCAGTCCAAGCCAGGCCAACAACCAGCCAGTCAGGCAGGTAAGTGCCGGGCGCACTAAAATAAAATTGCATACTTTATGGCGCTGGATGCGGCTGCACAAGGCGAACCGTTGCGTCGCAACGATGTGTATGTCTTCAAAGGCAAAGGCAGCCCAAGAAAATTCGAGGAAATTTATTTACAGTTAAAAAGCAGACAAATACAAAACGACAGAGCCGAGCAGCACTCCGGCCAAAAGGACTTAGTACGTGCGTGTAAAAGGTGTGTGTGTGTTTGCCGTTGTGTGTTTGTGTGTGTGTTTATTATTTGAGTGAGTTTATTTAAAATTCAATTAGGCCCCACACGCTCTGCTCAACTACATCTGCTACGCAGGCTGCGGACAGGGTGTGTTCAAATGAGAATGGTGTTTATGCGGCAAGGATCACTATACACTATATATATCTGCATTGCGGCTTACCAAATGATTGAGTTTATACAGAAATTGTTCATCGATCCTTACCTGCAACAGAGCAAATAAGAGAAATTTATTAATTATTATTGCATACATTTCGGCGGGCTTAAGCCTAGAAAAAAACGTGTACAATTGGACAACAAATCTCTGTATTCATATATATTTATAGAGTAGTTAAAGGGCATACAATATCAAATGCACATATTTTATTTAACGGGTTTCGTTTTACAACAATTACTAAAATTTGTGTATTATATTGCTTACAAATAAAGTACGACAAATTAAATAAATATGTTATACAAATAAAAATTTATTTTAAATTTTAACGAGTGCTATAATCAAATAATGAGTTTTGTTTTGCTTTTGTAGCAATGATTTCTTTAATTATATTGTGTTCCTGACAATATTAAATATCAGCAATTTTGACATTTTCTTAGCACATAATGAGCCCATTTTTGGCAGACTTTTAACAGCCATTCCCACCGTGGGTCGTTCCCTACTTTCTAGCCTTAGGCATATCATTTTCAAGGTCTCACTTGCAATCAAATTATGAGTAATTTATGCCGCTGCCTGCTGCCTACTTATAATTTTAATATCATGACACCCAAAATCTTGTTAAAGAAATCTCAATTATCTACTTTTATTGATTTGCAAGGCAAGCAAAACACAGATGCTAAACAAGCGGAGCGAAGCGGAGATCCTGATGCTATTTACGCACCATTTTGTCGCTCTTCACTTTCGCTTTCGTTTCGCTTTCCGCTTTTGACAAACGAAATTTCGAACAAAAAATGCACGAAAACAATTACGATAAAATATACATATATACATATATATGTATATATATACATATATACTTGTAAGTAGGTTAGGCCCAGGTTGCCGGGGTAGTCTTTGACAAGCCCTGAGCATGGATAAAAGCAAATTATGATAACAATAAAGATTTAACTAGAGGAGCTCGTGAAGTGGCAGCAGGCGGCATGCCGCTAGACACAAAGCCCTGCCACGAAACGACACGGCACGACCCGGCGCTCGACCAAGGCACATAGCGAAACAGGGACAATTTAAATAGACATTTATCTTGCCAAACGACAGCCCAGGTTGTGCAACCACACTCACACACACACACACGTGCCATTGCCTATAACAAAATTACAGCATTGCGGCTGATCCATGACGATGACGATAATGTGCGGGTTCTCATAGCTCGACAACGAGCCACCCACCCCCCAAATCTTACCGCACCTCCCCACCATCACCCATCACTCTCAACACCCCCTGCCACTACCTTTCCGACATTGATGATGTGAACGAGAGTTGGTTCGGTTTTTTTGTTTGATTTTATTTATGCGCTTTCTCGTGTATTTTGTATAACAAGAACAGCAACCACAAAAATTTTCATAGCGTTCGGCTTTGCCTTCAGCGTGTCTACGCGGGCTGCTCTTCTTCTACTTGTTGTTGTTCTACTCGCTCACAAAGTGAGTAGAGTATATTGGTTTTGTCCAATGTCTGGGTTTCTGTGATTCTCAAAATAGAGACTTCAAACTTGGCATATATACTCTTGTATATTCCCGACAAACAACCACTAGGGGCGTTATATATCAAATAAGGAATGAAGACTACTTGTGCCCTCAATTTAATATCAGCCCATGAATCTTTTGCCTGAAACCAATTGATAATAGCAAATCGAGAAAGTCGATTACTGTTAATAAATTTGAGGGTTAGACTATCTTAATCTCATTAAATTTTAAACGGGTATTACGCAGTCGTTTGTACCCGACTAGAACATTCGTACTTGTTTTTGTTTGCTGTTTTTATTTTCTTTACAATTTTTGGCTTGGCAAATGTTTTTCAAAGCATAAAAATACTTTTACATTAACTTGTTCTAACAACACGAACACACACACACACAGTCCAAAAAGTTGTAGAAAAAAATGATTTTTTTCTTCTACATTTTGCGTTGCTTTTAGCGCCCAACGACTTTGCCGCTTGCTGGCTTTGCGCTTGTTGCTGTTATTGTTGTTGCCTACTTTTAAGAAAAGCGAAAGTAGCGCAAGAACAACAACAAGTTTCAGTCAGCGCAAATGTAGAGCGTGCCACGTTATGGCAAGTGTGTGTTTATGCCCAAAGTTTTGGCAAAAAACAAAAAGAAAAGGGAGTCTAACAAAAAAGTTGCCCTTCGCTATATCAACATCATTTGCGTTAAGTGGTTTAAAAGCAATGCGTGAAGAGTCGAGCAGTTACAAATATGCCAGAGCCTAATGCCGACATCTTTATCTGCCATATTGACTTGACTGGCACTAGGCAACGCCGCTTCCGCCGCCTATTAAACTGCAATAAAGCTTTGCTGGCACGACGCCAGCAACGGCGCAACAGGAGCCGAAACCAGTTGCTGCCACTTTGCCGCTTGCCGCCTGCCACTTGGCCTATGCCTAATTGGCTGTTGTCTGCCTGTTGCCAAAAACTGTTGCATGCTTTAAGGCGAGTGCCTAATAAAATTTGCTGCGCCTGACAATAAAGCAAAAGGCAACAAAATAAATAAAATGGCAGCACACACAAATAAATATATATATATATATATGTGCAGGGAAAATGCCGAGCAATCTGAGCATATTTCATGCTGCTCTACGTGCTGCGATTTTTCGGAAATTTTTTTTTTCAGCTAGCAGCAGCAGGCGCAGGCAGGGCTGCCACCTGCTAGCCAGTCTTTTTCTTTGTCTAGCACTTTGTATAGATTTTGGCGTATCGATAGCAGAGGCATAGACCGACACATACAGACACACACACACACACACATATATTTATTTACATTGTGTATGTGTGTGGGGGTATCCTTTTTATGGCTGCTGGCAAAATTTATGATTTCTATTCATGCGCTTGCTTTGTTCAAAGGATTTGTGCTTTGTGTTTCGTTCCTTGTTACCTGTGCACTGGCTGTAGTCAAGTTATTTATAAGCTTTAAATTTGTGCGTCAATTAAATTTTCATAGAAAAACCAAAGCCGGCCAATAAGAACAATAACGACGAACAAAAGCGTTGGCTAAATTATGGCAATTAAAGCAAATTAAATGTAGTTGAGAGCCAGGCTAACAGGTAGCAAGCACGCCGCCAGGCAGCCTGGTAGATGAAGTTAAGAAAATGGGATATCAAAGTTCAAACGCCGCTCAATAAAGTTAACTAAACAAAGTGGGGGCGGTTGATGTAGTTATTGCTGCTGCTGCTGCCGAGACTAATGAACCTGCCAAGTAAGACAGCATTCGTAACATTTTAGAGAAGGAAAACAAGAAAATACAAAGCAACAGCAACAGCAAACACCAACATCTTGAACCACACAAAGTAGACAAATAGCCGCATCGACAACGCGCTGAGGAAATTGATTTGCATAGCAACCAAATGGAGCGACCAGTTTACCAGTTCTTCGCCAAAAACGGCATATGACCTGGGTCTGCTTTGGGGCCTGGACGAAAATCGGAAGACGTACGCACCAGCACGAGGAGTGTTCGCTAAGCAGTTTAACTATTTAGGGCAACAACAGCAACAATGCAGCATCTATGGCAACTTCAATTTGCTGTCCTAACCCCGGCACCACATCCAACCTAGCCCACACAGCGCCGCAGGCCGAAGTGTCAAAGACATGGCCCGAGCTGCACAAATGTTGACAAGCTAATGAAATGTGAGCAGCTCCTTGGCAATAGAATAGGTGGGTGGGTTGGGCGGGGGTGGGTTAAAGGCGGTCAGAGCCCAAAATTGATACACTGTCACAACTTGACGAGCAGCTGAGTGCCCGCTCCTTCAGCGCCCGCCACTCCTGGTGATGAACTGTCGCTCCTGACGATTTCAAGAAAATCCCAGGCGATTCAATCTGACGCAACTGGGCAGCAGCTATGGGGTGGCAGAGGTCCCTACCAAATTGTTGCTTAGACATTTGCTTATGCAAATCGAAATTATAATGAAATCAGCTATAACAACTCAACTATGAACGGACACGATGAGGGAAAATAGGTGGGGGAGTACTAGGAAATTCGGTTTATGCTTTGCAAATTGAAAATCTATCGAAAAGATGCAAGAGCTGGCGGCCTCGCCAAATACATCATTTGAACAGCGATTGGACCACATGTCAGTAGCAAAAGCAAAACACATCAACTAAGCATCTAAACGGGCCAGAATTTTACTGCCTTAACGAGCATCACATTTGCCACATGTATCATAACAGCTGGAGACACGCACCACACTCAGTTGGGGATGGTTAATTCAAAACTGAATTCCAAACAATTTGCACAGTAAACTGTTGGACGCCCCAAAGTCATAAGTGGTAAATCACATCAATATGTAAGAGAGGCAACAACAGCCAAAAGCAAACGAGTCCTGAGTCCTGGGCAAGGATGTTTATCTAAGGACACGGCCACATACATCGCTAGAATTGGTCTAGAACCGGACTACGATTTGCTATGCAATTTTACACACTTGACCATTAAACGTAGCCATTGGGAGCAGTTTGCATAGCAATGAAGCCAACGGCTGGCCCTGTCGTACCGCAGGCCAAAGAAATGGAATAAAAGCCAAGCCGTAGTCGGTCAACTTGATGAAGTATGAATGATTACAACGGCATAAGAGTTGGACAGAGAAAAACTAGGCAACACGAGAGAGAGAAAAAGAGAGAGAGAGACAGAGAACGATGGCGAGCATAAGCGTGCTCATCTTTATACACATTGAAAAGGTGTAGTTGACTGTAAAAACTTCAATGAATAAATTTTTTTTTTATGCGTTGGGCCATCTCGTAAAAGACATAAATAAAATAGACATTTGGTCAGTCGCACACTCACACACGCACACTCTCAAAATATGGAAGACCAAAGTAAATTGATCGAAATGAAAATGTTCATAAATTTACATAGACCCAAAATATTGTAATTGAGCGTTAAGAAAGCGGCACCTTGAAGTAGGCAATGCCAAAAGGAATTTATGTGCAAGCAGATAAAAGCCAAGTTAAGTCCCAAACTAACTGTCCAACTCAACTGGCAGCCATTTAACCAATTTAAGCAGCCACACTAT